TTTTTATTTTTTTTATTTTATTTATTTATTTTTTTTATTTATTTTATTAAATAGTTAGTAGATATTGTTTGCATTATCTAAATCATGTTTTACTTTGAATATCAACGCACCAGCAAACAACCCAAGGGTGATATCTGGCTTTAGCAAAATAAAAAATTATAAAAAAGCTCCCTCACTCATCACTTTTCCTGCCCAAATAGGGTGATAAAATAATAGTATTTTTTATAAGGCCTTAAATGAGAAGCACAAGCCTGCCTACTTTCTTCCATTAAAATAACATCATAAGCTCTTCAGTTGGCCTAACTACATACTGTATATCCTTTGATGCTTTCTTTAATTGTGAAAAGCATAATACAAATGCATAAGATAGGCTTATACTATTAAGTACTTAAAATAAAATAAACTCATTACTGGAACACACAAGGATGTCTTGCAATTAAATTAGCTTGTGTGTGCGAAAGACAAGGTTATCTGGAAAGAATTTTCTCAGAAAACAGGTGTAACAATTATACTACAACTCCATTTTGATTATGTTGTGTGAATTGAGTATGGATATACAGTAAGTATGAGGCTTTTTAAAAGTTATGTGTGTATTTCACGGTTTGAACAAAAAAAGTGACTGGTTTTAAAAGACAAGCACCTTTTAACCACAAACCTATTTAACTGCACTCCATACAGTAAATACACGCCATCGTGTTGGGATTCAATATTTCGACATTAATTATGTCATCAACAGTAAACTGTACACAATAGTTCACACTTTGACTGTATAATATTTAGTTCCATATACACTCATTTTACCTCAATAATAGACAACATACTGTATTTCAACAAATTAAATTTTACAAGAAAATATAAATTGTTTATGTAGCATCACTCACAGGTTTTACTGTTTATTGCAAACTGAAAAGTTGCTCAACTTAATATGCTATTTACTGCTATGTCATTTGCTTTAAGTAATTCTAAAACATATAAAGGGCGTGTTGGTAGACCGCAAAGTAACTTAATGAATCAATTGCAGGTAGATGTAAGAAAACGACATCTTTGTCTGAATAGTTATGAAGATCTTATGTATCTTAAAGAAATTGCTAATGATAAAGATTCATGGGCGAAATTGTTTCAAACATGTATGAATTGATATCGCAGCGTGTAGTAACTAGTCGCAAGACTTTACCAGAAAATGTATATTGTTATACTGTATATGTTTTTTGAAATAAAGTTTGAATATATAATATGCTATAAAAATACACGCAGTATAAATAAAAAAAACAAAAAAACATTCCATTCACTCAGTACAGTATTTGTTTTTAATATCTATTAGTAGCTATATAAATAGAGTGAAATACTATCATGGAATTCAATGACAGTGAATTTTAAAAATTAAGTGTACGGCAAAAGAGTTTACAGATAAAAGCTTGCCATTTAGTCCAATATTTTTTTATTATGTCGAAGGTCAAATTAACAGTAAATAATAAATCTAGTATCATGTGATCTTCTCATAATCTTAAAGTGCTGAGGATCTGGTCTGCTCTCAAAAATTGCTCAAATCAGCACATACAGTACTCTTATAATGTTTACCAATTCAAGTTGTTTATTTGAATAAAATTAAGTTGACTCAGGGAGATACACTTAGCAATGATACAGTTTACACTTTGAGCCTCAATACACTATGAATAATTAATTATTAATCAATTATACAGTGGCTCTACCTGTGCAGTCTTTAATAACTGACCAAGTATTATTATAGGAAGTAGCCAATTAGGTGTAAACAGTATGTGGTTGATGTATCAAAGACTGGCTGTAACCAAAGTGATTTGTGCATTTACGTGATGTTAAAAAAATATAAAGGCTGAAAATTGAGAATTGCCTTCTTCAATCGCTGCATTGTTTTACATTTTTATTAATTGTTTACCCAGTGTACAGTAAGCAGGGATATAATTATAGTGGGCGGGGGCCACTCAGCCTTGTTTGTAGTTTTCCACCCAGTCTAAAGCTAATTTCATGGCCTTCCACCCACCTTATTAACCAACTTGTGCATCCTTAAAATTCACTTTTATAATTTAGAGTTTAACAATGTTATCACCACCCACCCTTAAAATGTTAATCACTCACTCTTAATTTTCTACAGCTACACAACCCTGAGTATGTTAAATTGTTAATTGTCATTTTCGGTTTTAACTATATAATATAATATGGAAAAAAGCTTCTTAAAATACTGATTTTCAAATTCATTGCACTGACAAAAACGTATTGTATACATTTGCAAGACTGGCTTTTTGTTACTTTTTAAATTTGTTCTTTTAAAGTAAAAGAAATATTGAAAACATTTGATGGAAAAATTTTATTAAAAAATTGTAATAATTATAGTAAATGCAGTGCTAATCTTTTGACCATTATGTCTACATATTTGTTTGATGTATTAAGAAACACAGGAAACTTTACAACACGATAACATATTCCCCTAGTCATAATAGTTAACGTTAATATATTCGTTGCAGCGAAGATATTGTTTCTAGACACAATTGGGATATATTCCCATGACACAGGATTTCTAAAAGATACTATAGTCCTTACAACTCACCCACATTAAAAAAAAAAAAAATTTTAAATGTTATGTTAATGCTTGCAGTACACCGCGTAGATAGTTCTGAAAAGAACAGTTGTTGTTAGTTGAGAATATCTCGACTTTTCGATTAAAATGTCGCAATGTTATTCATATGCAGGCTTCGTTTTATATCAACTTAACATTAACTAAAACCCATGGGTTTAAAGTAGTGTCACACAGGTAAGAATACAATAAATTATGGGAAAATCATTAAAACCATTAATTACATATCCTATACGGTACAGCGTGTCTAATAAGAAAATTAGGGCATGCTCTACATCGCAAGTAATGCATTGAGGGCTCGGCACATTTACATTTTAATCATACAAGTGATTAATCATGATAATGTATTTATTTTTAAATGTCCTACATTTGCACCTCAGGGTGCTGTAAAGAATGGTTCTGTGTATACTGTACAGTAGTCATTTGATTTTATTTTCATCAAAGCATTCTGGCTCTTTATACCCCTAATAATAGAACTCGTACACTGGCCTATGACAGTCTCCGACATAGTTAAGTAGAGACACAAATACTGTTCAAGCCACATGGACCACCTTTGGTAAGTAGTGTAAACATCATGAATTAACAAGGGCGGATTTGGGGTGGCGACCGATTTCCTGCACACAACCTCCCCCTCCCTTTAAAAAGACTAAAAGAAAATTATTGATCACCCAAAATGCCTCGAAAGGTTATTTCCAGGCATCTAGAAAACAAAAATTTCTCCTAGGGTAGTGTTGTCTCTCAAACATTACCCCCTCCTTTTGGATATATCTGATCTGCCCCAGATTAATCATTGTTTTATTAAATACAGATGCCTACTTTTACAGGAGCAAAGAAACGTAGGCATCATACATGATGCCTTTTTTTTTAAATTAAAGATTTTAACCTTTGACCCCTAGCAGACAAATATCTATATATTTTATTTGAATGAATTCAATATAATTTCCATAACATGGAAAATGTATGACATAAAGTGAAGAGTGCAGTATGTCTCTCAAAGCAATCAAGACACAGCTTAAAATGTAGAAAATCAATAAGTCTACGAGTCTGTCATTGGAATTATGCAATGAGATGATTTAAATACCATAATGCTGTAATACATTATTGCTTTTGGACTTCCCAAACTCGATTCTCAATCAGAATTCTCTACTAATAATTACATTTTATTTAACAACAGCAACAGTATATAAAGACTATGAAAACAAAAAAAAGATATTAACAGTATTATTAAATATTCCATTAATTACATCTAGTTTTTTAATTATATATTATTAAAGTACGGTAGTTCTAACCTTGTAAACCAAACTTGCGCAAACGTTTGTCATATGGACAATACAACTTCATCAGGCTGGTGATAGAGGCCGTCACCTACAGTCTGTGACATTCCATGACTGACCAGCTCACTCAGCCTGATTAGAATGTGATTACTTTACTAATTCCGTTTACCAGATTATTATTAAATATCTATTTAATTATTATACTTATTACCAGTTATATTTTGAGCATTTTTTAATACTGAATAAATATTTATAAAAAATGTTTAAAATAATATGACCACCAGACCAAAATGGTACTAATAATAATAAGGGCATCTTGTAAGGCGCACATATCCATCTCAGTAAGCTGCACGCGGCGCCATTTCCACTTGCAAAAAGAAACAGCCTTTTCTGAATGTCATTAATTATAAATTAATTATTAATCATTATGTTATTATTTATAAAGGTTTTATTTTTATATAAATTTTCTTTTTATTTATTTTTTAAAAATTTATTAATAACAGTATGACGGTATCCGTTTGAAATCAAGATTTGGTCTACTAGTTACAATAGTTTTTCTGAGCGAGACTTCTTCCCACATCAGTCGATAACCCATCCTCAGGCCCGTTAGCACAAATACCGTATTTTTAAGTAGGGTTGAATGTTTTTTTAATAGCTAATTGACTGAAAACACACCAGTTATAGTCGGCTTGCTACAGTACAGTATTACATCAGCTGTAGCTAATTATTCTATTTGCATTCTACTACATACAATACAGTTACTGTATGGTTTTCTATCATTAAGTAACAGGTCGGAAGCTCATTAATGTCCCACAAGTGCCTTTAGGCTGATTTGTATTTAAATACTATCTGTTTTTCTACTCCTCAACCAGAAATGAAGAAAATATAAACTAGGCTGATTTAATATTTAAATCATTTAATGGTAGCAGAAAAAATAGTATGTTATCAGAAGCCAACAGCTGTTACCCAGTGACTGGCAAAATTTCAAAATATTTAACATTCACCCTACTGAAAAAATTGCCAGTAAATTGGTATCTGCAGTAAACCTCTAATCAAATATAGTAGTACTGTAGGCCTAGTGTATAGTACATTGTCAGATACACTAAAGTGAACTTTACCTGTAGAGGCCGGGATAATGTAAACAGGGTTGCCAGTACCGCAGATAATATCCCAGACTGCAAGTATCAACGTGTATTAAACATGTATCGGTCGTGCGAGATTACGTGCTTCAGCCATACGATACACATTGTCCCACAGATCCACTCGCTATAGTTGGCACCACACAGATACCCAGTAAATGAGACACAATATCGGGTTTTTATTACCGAATCAAATGGGCGAGAAAAAAATAGTGAGTGACTGAGCACAGCATAATAAGATGTCACGCTTGAGCAGTCACTATGTATAATGACACTCGAAATCCAGTGTCCTCGCTCGAATGACAAATTACAGATAAAGGGGCAGGGCTTATGGTATTGTTTAATTGTATGCACAATAAATTGACATGTAAATTCGAATAGTTGGATTTAGGAGTTGGGTTCTCAATGGAATAAAGTCAAACAATCTTACGTGATTGATAGCCATTGATTTCATGCCTGTCTAATTGATTTTCTGAAGTAAAAAATTCTGGCATATTAGGTTTCATTAAGTGTTTCAAAGTTTTTCTTGCAACATTCCTTTCGCCATTTGCTGAACTTTCATCACCAGGAGTTACAAAGTGAATTTTCTTCCTCATTGTACTGTTTTTGTTTGATTATTTGCTTTTTACTTTGCAATCTGGAAAATATATAGATTGAATAGATTTTCCTACACCTTATGTTATGAACTCCATCGATTGATGAAAAGGCTTGTGAAATAAAATTTACTGTTAGTCAAAATAAGCATGATCAACTTATTTCCTTTAATGCTACTCAACTTGTTTATATTTTGTTAATTCTACTTCATTTCTATAAGTTTGATTTACTGTACTTCCTGTAAATTTAATTTTCAAAATTATCAATCACTTAACAAAGAAACCGAGTGATTGTGGAAACGATCGAATGTTGCAATGAAATTTACCAAACAATACTTTATATCAACATGTATTATAACACCAAATTACAACCTTATTTTCCTCTCATCCCTATCATAGGGTCCTCATTTGGAAGAATTTACTCCTGAGAGGTCTGGTTTAAATGAGCTTTCTTTCCAAATACAAAACTTTATTTTGCTCCTCATGAAACTGTTGGGCAATTGATAATAAAGTAGTAAAAACATGCAAATATATAATCAATTTGCGAAAGATGTGTTATTTTCCAGGAGATTCGTCCTTCCTTGCGGTAGCGCAGGAGCCCGTTCTGATTTCCAGGAGACGCCCATAACTTGCGGGAGAATTACGACCCTTGCTATCATAACCCCAGACTATCATCATTCATTGTAAGATTTGTACCCATCCCAAATCATGTCCTTTTGAACTTCACCAACATCTCCAGAACACTTCTCATATTGTCCTATGACCTTTCCCATTATATCTTAGAATACTATATATCATAGTCAACAGAATTCTTCGCATTATATTTCAGTCCTATTATACATTTTATGGTACACACACTGAATGATCACCATGTTATTCTTCTGAAACCAACGCCATCACTTTATTTATGACATTATAAAATTTGACATACTGTAGCAAGTGATGGATAAAGCTGGCCTATACTACTCATGACTCATACAGAACATATCATAAAAAAAATTATATCTTGTATCATCTATGAGTCAACTATCATAAAACTGAAAATTGTTCAGAGACAGAAGATACACAGTAGTATTAATGAAACCAGGCTTCTGTTTCGACAGTAGTATAACTGTATAAATAAACATCTCTGCTTTCTAATACTACTGTATGCTGTACTGCAGGTTAACATAAAATTACTATTAGTAGAATGGAAAAAAAAAAAAACAGCCTATGTCACCGTTGGATGTGAAATTTTCTGCAGCGAGAATATAAAATTAGGCCTCTCCCTTTTTCCATCTTAAGAAATAGTTTGAGTTGTGTAGTGGATTACGTACATTTGCCTTCCAATATCTAGGCTCCGATTTTAAACAGATACTGTCCAACAAGGGGAAGGGAAAACCAATAGGCTGCCTAGGGTGATAATCGTTTAAGACTAAAATAAATTTGGATTTGATCTAAAAATATTTTTAGACGACTTCAAACGCAGTCTTTTAAAAGAGAATCTGTGCCTGTCCGACGAATAGGGGAGGGAGGGTTTCCTGACACTCGCAGGCACCACCACTGATTTTAGCAAAATAATGTTAGGATTTTACTCCCAAAGCCATAGACTTTGTTCCAGGGCATCATCATGGGCCTCAGTCCCCTCCTCTATACCACTTTACTTCATTGAGGGTTGCAAATGATCTACTATCCACTTCGAAAGCATTATATGCTTATTTAATATATGATGTAACCAGAACATACCTATTTGCATACTATAGTATCTTACTGTAATTATACATTTAATTTTAATATACCGTAATCTAAATACAACAGTTCAACATACAAGCATTATTCAAATTAGATAGGTTATATTTAGATAAATTATTCCGAAGCCATCTGCTAGCCAGCTTTTCATATTCAATTCAATCAGCAGAGAAAATATTAACCTAAAGCTATGACTTCCTGTGCAAGTCTTGGCAATGATACTTAAAACAAAATTGTAAAGAAAATATAAGGACACTGAGTATAGGTTGACGATGGATGACTTAACGAATGCTTGGCTAACGATGTCACACTTGATGTTAAAGGTTAATGATTTGGTGAGAGATTAATTTATGCAACCCACCCAGTAAACCAGGTCAATTTGAATCCAAATGGGATGACATACACTAAATGAATATTAATAATCGAGTTTAACCTTCAACCTTTCATAGGTTTAACGATTACCAAAGATTGATCCACAGTAAATTATTAAATGGAATTACTCATTACAATGATTACCAGTTTATACCAGTATTACTTTAACTATCACAAAGTTTAGCCAAATTACCAGTTAACCAACCAGTTTGACCCCTATTATGTCAGTTCTACAGCTTACTAGTTTTAGGCATATTAAAAAAAATGATTAGTTTATCACCCTTGCCTGCATGTCTTCATGGTATTGGAAGAAAAAAAAAACATTTTGGAAAAATATAATTTAAAAAAAAATGTTTTTCATTTTTTTAGTTATTAGTTAGTACAGAGCAGATGCTGTTTGTATTATCTCAATCATGTATTTTACTTTGAATATCAATGCACCAGCAAACAACCCAAGTGTGCTTTGGTAAAATAAAAAATAAAAAGCATCCTTCCCTTCCTCATCACTTTTTTTTTCATTCATTCTGGTTTTTCATTTCATTTATTTCGTCTCAGTAAAATACATAAAAAACAACAACCAGTTACAATACAACAAAATAAAAGCATAAAAAACCTGAAACAGGCCGAGACATTATTCCTAAAAGTGAACCAAATCACTATCATGTAGGTCTCCTAATGCACTATTCCGATTACACATAAATAATAAAATGAACAATTGAAATAATACTTAAAATCTGTAAAATTATATTAATGCATTTATTTTATTGTTCCTTAACTAAATGCTGATTTAAAGTAAGTTTGATATTATAGCATTCACTCAAAACATGAAAACAATTTAAGACCATTAGAAACAGAACAATTTAAATTATAATGAGCTTTAACTTGTTTATTATTTTACAGGTCTAACAGTTTTTTGTGTCTTTTCTGCTTCACCAAGCATTTTATTTCTGTAAGAATTTTTCTCAGTTAAGGGAGGCAAAAGATTGATGAGGTTCGACAATACGTTCCTTCCTGTTATTTGTTCAGCAGAGAGATTGCAACAACATGAGGCTCCACGTCATTCATTTGAAAAAAATTATATTTCATCATCATCACATGTGTGTATACTTTTGTATTTCGGTTTGCAAGTCTTGACCTTGCACATGCTTAAGTGAAGTTTCATTTCTCCTAATATTGTTTTATATTTCTTTATGGAAGATTATGTTAACATCAATTTAAAGAAGAACAGAAGATAATAAAGACATAATAAATGAATGGACCCTGGCAGAAATATCTTTAATTTACATTAATTAATATCTTTAAAATAGAAAGGGGGTTTAGAGGATACCCACATTATGGTGTCCTGTTGGCACTGGCCATTTTTTGATTTGTGATTTTTGTGCTCAATATGTAATAAATACTGTATTAGAGATATACTATTTGATAATAGTACTTATTTTTTTAAATTTTAAATTTCATTATCATTCAATGTGTTATCTTATAAACCTAATGACCATCTATTAAGGTACTACCTATCACTTTAGTGGCTAGAAATATTATGATCATCCATTGCACAACTATCTACATATAGCTATCTATTTCCAATTTAGTTTCTATGTAATGGCTATCCATTCAATAGCCATTTACTTGGCATCCTATACGGTTTAATTTAATGGACATCTATCTAGTAGCCATCAGTTTAATGGTCATCTATCAGACTAGTGGCTGTCTTAAATTTAGTTATCAATTAATTAATTTCTCATTTTCAAAACAAACCTAGGATGACAAATACAGTAATAGCAATTAAACTTTATAAAAATGAATGTTGTTAAATTAAAAAGTAAATTAAAATTTAAAAAAAAAAAATCAATTTTAACATTTTGAATATTCATTAAATTATTAAGACTTTATTCAGTCCAAATGAGATATTTCTCCATTAAAATGGGAGATGGGGAGATTGCGATGACCCCCAGTTTTCTCTTAAAAAAATCATGCTCAAGTAGATAAAAATCATCTCAAATCGCCCTATTTTGCGACTTAGCTCCCTTACCTAATTATCGAGTCACCCCAATCAGGTTCGTGCCCCTCCCCCCTCAGCTTTCCCATTTCAAGATGCCTATATATGCCACTGGGTGGGGGGGGGGAGAGGAAAAGGTTTTAATATAAAAAGGTTTGAATATAAATCTTAAATTTATGGAAAAGCAAAGGCTTTGTTTTAGAAAGACCTGTGAGAAACTACTGTAATATTTGATTTCATTTATTCATTAAGCACTTTAAACTATAGTAAATGAATTGATCATCTCAATCAGGGATACTATAAAACAGCAAAAAAGACAATTATTGTATTAAAAATTCTGGCTGCCACCGACAGTCAGTAGACGGCATCGGGTTATTTGTACAAATGTCGTACCACTCATTGAGTTCCCGGCTTTTAAAGAGTTTCTCCCAGTCCCTGCACTTTCCACCATTATCAGTACTCCACAGGAAGTATTAGTCTTCACACTTTCATTGATCACCTACTCTACTTGAAATGTTAAAGAATC